CCCGAACGTTTGGGCGTTCAAGTTCGGGTGTTCGGCCCATCCCGAACGCTGACAAACCTGTACACACATATATATATATATAATTTTATTTTTAAATTTGGACCATTTCTTGATTTACACATTACGGAGCAGTCCAATATCTTCTTTGTATCATTTTATTTTTTAATTTGGTCAATTTCTCGATTTATGCATTACGATGGGCCAAGTATCGGGCCTCAGTGCACTGTTCTAGACATGCACAACAAAAAATAATCATAGCGGTGTATCTTTCCATATTATACCAGAAAATTCACTCTCGTTTTGCACATTTCGAGAGTAGTGCAGCGAGGCTCATCTTCTCTGTATCGTTCTAATTTATTATTATTATATTTTTTTAATGCAAGTATCATTCAAATTTTAACGGATGTCTCGGAGCGAGATCCCACTATCGATGTGTGTGGATTAGTGTTTAAGGTGTGTGACTGTCAGACATTGTGGATTTGGCGCGAAATCAGTGGTAGCCTGTTTTTGTGAATTAAGCCCGGGAAAATGATGTTTTATTATGCTCTCCCATTGATAGGTTGTTATTTTGTTTTTGTTATTGGGGTCCTTTGGCTGTCCCAAACGTGTGTGAAATCACAACCAAGTTTTTTGGTTCATGAAATCACACTCGTTTCTATCACGGCGAATGCAAAGATGAATGGCTTCGTCATTGGAAAGTGATTGTGGTTTGGGAGGTGTTTGGGAGGGTTAGATCCCCTCACCTACAACAGATGGTGTGTGGAGTTAGGGCCTCGTTCGACACGACTTCGACATTGCTATTTTTAAAGGAAGCATCGTTCGACCCCGCCCTAATCGCACACCCTTGAAGTGGTTAATTGTTTCCACATCCCCGCGACCAAGTGTCTGCCCTTAAAACGGAAGTGCGGCCCAGGCCAATTGACGAAAATCCCAAGGGTGCCTCGAGAGGTCACTTGGGGCGCAAGGGTTTCACTCTTCAAAATGGGTAACATATGGATTTTTTTTTTTTTTTTTTTTTTTTTTCCGCCAATCACCAATGTTTGTGGTGCAATGTCGTCAACACTTCAGTTTCATGGACGACCGTCTCAAGCGTTTCGTCAAGGGGTTGTGGAACGAAAAAACAAGTTAGGGGAAATTAATCACCTTCAGTGAGTTAGGGTGCCCTTGAAACTAAAGTATTTTCAAGTGGTGTCGAATGAGGCCCTTACGTTTTTTTTTTTGTTTTTTTTTTTCGAGTTCATTGCCAGACCAACCTGGCTGAAACACCCAAAATTAAAATTTTGCCACTTCACACCACCTGCCAGACCAACCTGGCATCAATATACAATCTACTTCTATATTAAAACGACAGACGATCCCTCCTCACCCTACTGCGGGTCCCCCGGTCTAATATTTCTCCCCCTAGGCAGCATGAGCCAACCGAGTGACCAGGTTGGTTCAACCTTAATAATTCTTCTACTTACTTACTACCCAACCCACACCACCTACCACCGGAATGGAAGACCCTCCCTGATTTTACGATAATAGATGATAGTGTGCCTAGTTTGACCAAGACTACAACTTTCAACTGTGATGCCTTCAATAGCTTGAACTATTATTAATGTCATACCGTACTAGAACTACCAACTACTTAATCGGTCTTAAGCCATGGAGACAATACAAGTCTCCCTGTTGCAGCAAAGACCGCAGCCATGCGGTTCTTTTTAGCCCAAGAGCGCAAAAAACAAAGTCTTGTCGTATATCATTCTGGTTCAGCCAATGACAACACTCTCTGTCTCCAGTCCACCACCACCATGTGTATGTCAGTAGATTTCATTCCCCTTTTCAGCTCATTGTCCGAAAAATATATGTTATGGAACATCACTGAGTTCCGCTCCTTCCATATCCACCAAATTGCCACTGCCCGTATGGTCGTTGCTACATAGCCCCAACCCTTCCCATAGGATAGTGAGGCGGGCAACTTACCTGTCATCGCCCACTCCACCTCCGGACCGCCTAACGCCTTCCAGTGATGTAGTATCCACCATCGCCAGATCCAAAAAGAGAGAGGGCAAGTTCCCCAGAGGTCTGTGTGGTCTTCGGGATGTCGGTGACACCACACACATTGCACATCCACATCCAACTCTTTAGTAGCGAGGCCCGGTGGATGTTAACATTTTTTGCTTGGAAGTCGCCGACAGACTTTCCACATAACCTTGTAGTACTCCACTGAGAGGGTTGTACCAATGCTGGAGAGGGGGTGTGCGTTCTGTATTTTAAACGTTGTACTCCCCCTTGCCCTGTGCACCGCCATTCCCAGTCTCGAGCTGTATTGGTGTAGCAATGGTTCTTCCCTCATCCTCGTCCACCCGTATAGTCCAACATCCAACCACATCCGTCGAATCAGAGTCTCATTCCTAAGCAAGGTAGGATGGACTGCACCACCGGCAGAAAACAGCATGAGTACTCTCACCTCCTCCAGCAAGCAAGGGTCACTTACCCTTCGTTCTTCTTTAAAAGATAGGTTGTTATTGTAAGATCCCTCTACAACTTTTCATTCCCACACTTCCGCATGCCTTTCACCAACATACTTGAGGATTTGCAATTTCGGACTCACACTTAGAACTGGTCGGTACCACCGGTTTCTTGACGCAGAGCCCTGCAACAAACGTTTTCATTCCTCCGAGACTGCACGGATCAACTCAGCCCGCCTCGAGTCTACATGCCACATCCTTCCCAATTTTCCTCGGAGTGTTGATCCATCCCTCCAATCGGCACTAAGGTCATCCCACAGATCCTCAATCCGTAACACTCCTCTCTCCACCCATGCCCTCCCGAAGTTCCCATTGCCTGTGATGGCGAAAACCGTGCCATCCTCCGTCGTGATCCATTGCTTTTCGAACAAGCGTTGACACAAAACTTCATCCCGCTTTTGAGGTATTTTTATAGGTGTTGGGGAAATGGTCTTCTAAACCCGAATCACTCTTTGTCAAAAGAGGGATTCCGGTCTCCGTTGTTGGTATGCTGGGAGTATCATCACAACCCATACATCTTTTTCCCTGCTTAATCCCTAGTCTTTCACAAGAATGTACTCTGCGAGGGTGACCCAGCTACGGTCCTCCGTGTCAAGGGTTACCTTAACCGACCATCTGCAGAGCAAAGCGTTATTCTGTCGGGTGGGATCTAAAATAGCAAGACCGTCGTCCTTTTTCGTTGCTGTTAATTTTTCTTACAACGGTTTGAACATATGGCCCTGGTCTTCCTCTACATCTGGTTTCCATATGAACTTGGAGGTCATTGTCTTGATATACTACACCTTTTTTTTTCCCTAGAGGCCTTACAACTCCCGTATACCAAAGTTGAGAAAATATTGTTGCATTTACTATCAAAGCTCTGGCAAATAAGGACAAACTATAAATATTATTCCACTTTCGAATCCGCTGCACCACCTTTTCTATAAGCAACTTGTCTTGAGTTTCTGCATAGTTTTTTAGGGAAACTTGCATTCCCAAAAACCTTTCCAAAGAGTCAGCTAGGATCTTTTTCATCCAAAATCCACACACATCCCATACTGATCAGGCAAAAAATATGTTGACGTTGATCAGTTCACCCGAGGCTTATATAATCCACAATAATCTACCAATATTTTTTTTACCGCTGTGAGTGAGCCTATGGTGTTTTTGGATATAATCGTTAAGTCATCCGCAAGGGCACTTCCTTTAAACTGTGTATGGCCGCGATAACGCAGTCCAACTATATAGGGATTACATCTCACGTTATTCAACAAAACATTCATCTGCAATACAAACAACAGTGGGGCTAATGGACAACCTTGTCGTATTAAGCGCGTCAATGGAAAAGCTGGGGAAATTTTGCACTTAGTCTTTTAAGGTAGCATATAACTGAACCAATCATCTTTAGCTCAAGATCCAGTCTGCCCTTCATACCACAAGTTTACTCTTAATTAATACTCTCTTCAGTTTGTGATAAGCTATAGTCAGACTACCCAAACTTATGGAACCGTGTCTGACAGCCTGTTCATAAGTAATATAATAATAAATTATAGCCAAGTTATAGCCTTCTGGTTCCAGCATGTGCGTGGCATTGGACCAAGACCACCCAAACTTATGGAACATGTCTGGTCCTTGGCCTGGTTCATTCTGTTAAAGCTAAATCAGAAAGAAACTGAAAGAAACCCAAAGTAAACAAGGCGACCAAGCCACCCAAACTTATGGAACATGCTTGGTCCCTGAAAAATCATTCAAAGTCAGCCCTCACAAATCAAAGCAACCAACCCACCCAAACTTATGGTAACCTGTCTGGTCTTTCAGGCAATCCAAAATAAACATAGCACTGGGCCGTCCAAACTTATGGAGACTCTCCCAACTTTGGTTGACCCAGTCAGACTCATACAATATAACCTTCCTCCCAT